ACAGTCTTTCTATAAGAAAAATATGAGAGCTTGACCTTTTCCTATTGAAATCAGTTGGATTTAGAGAGGCTTAATTTTGACTGGATTGTGCCCGTGTGCTCTCTTCCTGTTTGCAAGTGCACTGGGTAGGTAGGATATGTAATAGTAATATGTAAACTTTGGTCCAATTCATAGTTGGGGTAAAGTCATTAGCAACTAATTTTATCTTGTATGTTCCATGTAGAAAATGTTTCTTAGAGTAGGCACTCCTTTTTGGGGACCACCAATGCCAAGGTTCCCTGTCCTAGTAAGAAACAGCTGTTACTAACAATGCCTGCATTCATAAGAACTATGCATGATGTAGCACTTGGAAATGTGAAATCACCTTAACAAAAGTGGATACTGGAAATGGGCCTTAGGTACTCTTCAAAAAAACAAAAACAAAAAAGTCACATGATTTCTCTGCATTTGCTTTCTCTCAACATCAGCTGATTTCTCTACATTTGCTTTCTCTCAACATCAGCTGATTTCTCTACATTTGCTTTCTCTCAACATCAGCTGATTCCTCTGAAAAGCATCATATCTGTATGCAAGGTATGTCTGAAGTAGTTGGTTTCAAGCGAGATTTATGGTTAGAAGGGATGAAAGGGAAAGTGTATGCTTAGAGAAGGAGGAGGATTTTTTCCCCCAAGGGGTCCACCATAATATGGAGCCTGCCCTGATCTGGTCACTCTTCTTGCCCAGCCATATACTCACTATCAGCTTACTCCTCCCCTCCTTACTTTCTATATCCTCAGTTCTTGCATGCCAGCATTTGCTCTTTTGTTTCAGCTGGCAAAAATGTCTCAGGTAAGCTCTGACACCAATCAGTGGGGAAGAGTCGGGGTAGAGGGCTGTTCCACTCAAGGCCTGCTTGTGGGCTTCCCAGTGTCATTTGGTGGACCACGGTGAGAAACAGAAGGCTGGACTAGATGGAACCTAAGGCTGATTCAGCAGGAATCTTCTTACATTCTTAATCGCTAAATTAAGCAATTGTTCCACTAATTCAGAATTAACAATGCAACCACATAATGAAATTTAATTCTGCTCTGCTTGAATGCATTTTGGATTATGTCATCCAGTGTTTTCAGAATCTTTTTCCCTAGGCCCTTTTCATCCCGTATAAGATCTTTGCAACAGATTGCCTGGCAGATGTAATGACACTAGCAGTGATGCAAATTCCTGGCAAAGTAGTTTTAAATTAATGGCTCTTTCATAAGATTGTGTACTACAAAGGGGACAGAGATAAGGTTCATTTAACTGGTATGAACATTCTATTACTTGCAGACCTGTTTCCATGTAAAATATGGCCCACAATTTAGGAACAGCATTTTGGGTGGGGAAACTGAATGTACTGTTTCAGGAAAGGAAAGTAGAAAACATTTTGGGGCAATGTTCTGAAGTAAAACACAGGCTGATTGGCATCATCTTAAATCTAGCAGCAAAGAAGAGGGACTCAGAAATTAAGCTGATGCTCTGTGGCTGGCTAATTGATTAGATTATTCTACCCAGGATGTGGGTGGTGGAGAAAGTTTGTTTGTTTCATTTTTTTATAACCCAATAGCCAAGCTTCTCTGAGTGGTTAACAAAACAGAAGAAATCTTAAAAACCCACACACAACACACGTATGAGATAAAAGTAACCTAAGAAAAAACAATTGCAATTGAATCAACAAAGAAGCATAGCAGTGATACATAATAAAATCCAATATTAAAAAATGAAGTTAAAAAACTTTTAAACTGCTAGGGAAAATGAAAAGGTCTTCACCTGGTGCTCAAAAGAATGCGAAGTAGGCTCACTTCTTTGGGGAGCCCATTCTATAACCCGGGTGCCACAACAGAAAAGGCCCTCTTCCTGAGAGCCATCTGCCTCATTTCCTTTGGGAGGGGCTCCTGGAGAAGGACTCCTGAAGATTACCTCAGGGTCTGGGCAGGTGTGTCATGGGACAAGGTGATCCTTCAGGTAACTTTGCCTCAAGTCATTTAGGGCTTTCAGTGGTAGTACTAGCACTTTGAATTGGGCACAAACTTCAACTGGCCACCAGGGCAGCTGGAAGAGGACTGGCATGAAATGTTCTTGTGAGTCAGTCCCCATTAACAGTCTTGCCCTGTTTTGGGAAAGCTGAAAATGAACAGACTGAATGAGGTTCAGGAAGGGTAATGAAAAAGCAGGCAAAGAATTGTATTCTACAGAGGAATCTAAAGCCATGTGTTTGCTGGCTGAAGGAGGCTTGGATGGAGTGAGAGTGTCATTCTGCCGGAGAAAAGAAGCCCTAGCAGTGGGAAGGGACATGTCCTGCAAGGGCCTCAGTTCACTCTTGGAAAACTCCACAGGCATAGATCTGCTGCTGGTGGTGTTTCTGGTTTTTGTTCCACTGTATCCAGAGCCCCTTCATTCCCCTGAGAAGCCTTAGGAGAAAGCCTGTAAACAAGCCAGCCTGAAGATAATATAGGTAACTAGAGTTAAAGAATCACCACTGAAATTACTGGAGGGCATCCTCTTCCACCATTCTCTTTTACAAATAGCAAGTTACCTGCTGCACCCTTCTTTCAGTTTAGGATTGCTTTCCTAGGCAGAGCCAAAGCAGAAACTAAGCAGAAACTCTTGATCTGCATATCAGCAGCAGCTGCTTACTTCCTGTTATCAGCTGCTGGAAGACTGGAGTCAAAGGAAAGGGAAGGTCAAATGTCCTCAGTGACCCTGCATTTCAAATTGGAGAGGCCTGAAAATGTCTTCTTGATTATTCTATTCTGTCTGAAATGGAACATGAGATAGGAGAGAGTGACCTAGAACTACTATATACAGGAAACTTGTTCTCACAGGAACAGGAAAAACCTTGAGCAAATTTGTGCACCAAGATTCAAGCACATATGTTCAGAGCAAAATATTGTTTTGGATGTGTTGAGTTTTAAGTGCTATTGAATCATTCTGGCAGAAATGTTACTGTAGCAATTGGAGATATTGATTCAGATGGAGTACGGAAAGAAACATGGTGATGTGTCATAAGCACAGAAGTAGTATTGCAAACCACAAAAATGCATCTGCAAATTGGACCATTTTGGAGAGTATTCATAGAGTAACCATAAATCAGACATGACTTGATGGCACATAACAACAGCAAATATTTGCCTTACTGTCAGTGTGCCTTAAAGCAGTACCTAGTCAGAATCTGGACAAGAAAATAGCTGGAGATCTCTTTAGGGTTCTGGAAGTAAGAAACCAGGATGCTAATCTAGGCAGCAATGGTGCCTGTGTTGAGGTCTCTGTGTCTGACAAAAAGCCAACTGACCAACCAACCAACCAAGTCCCTATTTTTTAGCCAGAGAGAAAAAGAAGCTGGGAACTGAATAAACTCTTTACCAAGAATGCAACAGGCTTTGTACCAATCCCTCAGCAAAGACTTCTAAGCAAACATAGCATTCAGAGGATGAGGAAAGGGACTCTTATGGATTGGTAACTGATCAAAGTCCAGAAAGTAGAGTAGTATTATATGGTCCATTCTCCCAGTGAAGGGGTTATAAAGAGTTAAGTCCCCCAAGGATCTGCATTTTGAGTGGTGTTTCTCACACGTTCATAAATGATCTGGGATTTAGAGTGTGCAGTCAGGTGGCCGAGTTTGCTGATGACTCTAAACAATTTACGGTTAAGACCAAAATAGATTGCATTGCTCCAAAAGAATCCAAACTGGGAAAATGGGCACTACAATAGCAACAGCAGTTTAATGTACAAGAGTGTAAAGTAATGTGGATAGGAGTAGAAAATTCTGAATTCATGCCCTAAAATCATACCAAGCATTAAAAATACAGGAGAAATTGGGGGCAGGGCACACATGGCAGGCTGCACAGGTGGCTTTCAAGGGGCATGTGCAGCCCACAGGCCTTGGATTGCCTGTATCTTTATTACAATGTGTTATTTCCAATTCCATAATTTCTACATTTCTGAGGTTTTTTATAGATATACTGCTCTTATCCTTTCCTACAATCTTATTTCAAGTTCAGACAAAAAGTCATTCTGGGAATTGGAAGGAGCAGGCTTATGAGTCATTCCCACAAAAAATAAAACACTTAGCTAGTTCAGTCTTTTTAATTTATTAATTTTCCATTCACCCTAATAATTATGCAGTTTGATTTACAACTGCAATAGAGATACCTCAAAAAGAATATATTTTTTATGATTCAAGTCTGGCACATTATAATTTGCTGTTCCTTCTTTGTCATTAGGTGGAATATGATAGACTAGTAGGAATGTGAAAAATACAGTTTGAGCAAAAGTAATGCTATAATATCAAGACAGTGAGGCTGCCTTAGAGAAATAGCTATATTGTCTGTCTTTCATTTGGTTAATCCAGTTGATTAGATACATCATTGATTTATTTTAGGAAATTTTATCCAGTTCTAGAAGGGAATGACATCAGTATTAATTTAACTGTCAGTTTTCCGAAGTTTTCAGCTGTGTTTGCCATGTTTTCACACCTTTTCTCTCAAAATGATGACAGTATTTAGATTATCTTGAAGCACGAGGAAATGCCAAAGCCCACTGAGACTGTAATATTCCTTCTGAGCAAATGGGGTGGGGGGAGTGGATTTTGAGCCCCAGGTATCCCATGGAAATTAACCTTACTTGAAGAACTGACCTGCACAGCTAGAGCCTATGACCACAGGCTCTAGCTGTGCAGCATTGGAGTAGTTGGGAGCACAACTGAAAGAAGCTCATCTGGGGAGAAAACACTTTCTCTTTGGAGAAGCTGACTGAGAATGATGCAAGGGGCTGAGTGAGTTTTCACCCCCCCCTATTGTATCTTTATGTCTAGGTGATATCCTGTTTATATGTGCAGTTTCATTAGGCCATTCTCAGAGGGTATCCAATCATGTTTCTTTTTCTAAGGGATGACTGTGACTTGATTTGCTTGGTGCCCGCCCCCACCTTTGGGATGGGCTTCCTAGAAAGGTCTGCCTGGAACCATCACAAATTTCATTTCAGTACCAGGCAAAAACTGTCCTCTTTCGCAAGTTGTTTTGAGACCTGATTTTACCAACTGGATTGTAAGAGCTCACTCTACTGCCAGGAGTTTTCCTTTTCCCTGCATCCCCCCACTCCTCATAACTTGGAATTGTGATGTTGGCCTTCATTTTATTGTTGTTCACTGCTTAGAGAGCCCTGTCAGGTTATTCAGCAGCCTATAAATTTTAAAATAAATAAATAAACATGACAAGCCACTGTGGGCAATGAGTATTTATTTATCCATGGGTGCCTTGATTTGTTTTACAAACAAGACACTGTGAGAACTCATGGACTTTTCTATGGTTTCTTTTATCCGTGGTAGGTTGTTGTCATCCAACCCTAAATGAATGATCTCACCATGAGTAAAACTGAGCAATAAGCAAGGCATTAGCAATAATGACAAAAAATATCTTGCCACTCTTGCCAAATTCACTCTGGTCACTGGCAGCACCAGCTACCCCATGAATGCCCAAGCTTTACTTAGTCGAGGCTGGTGCTGGCTTTCTGCTGTCTTTGCTGTGATCAGCAGCTGGTTTTGGCTCCGTGCAGCTGTTTTGCAAATTTTCCCACAGATCTTCCTAACAATAAGATCTTGCGAAGAAGGGGATATAAATCTTATCACCCACTTTTCATGGCTGGACAGCTTGACTTTTAACAGTTATCAAACCAAATGGGAGCATGGAGCATACGGGTATTTGAAATCTTCTTAGGATAATGCCAAAGGTTGGTACATGCTGTACTTTGCCAGCAGGTCCTTCCCTAGACATTGCCTGAGTGAAGCTGTCCTGTTTTGAACCTCCATAATCCTGTGCACCATCTCTAATTGTGTAAGTCCAGTTTTTTAATGTACAAATTTTTAAACATGTTAAAGGGCCACCAATTTTAAAAATGGGTTTACCAGTATTGGCAGCCACTCCAAGGTGGCATTTGGGTATTTTGAAGAGGTTCTTAGTGGCTTTACCTGAAAAAGGGGGAAACATTATATTGCAAACAAGCTCTAGGGAGTCAGAAATAGCTCTCAAACACACTGGAAAATAAGAGTTGATTCAGTCATTCCTTGGATGTCAGCTGGTAGGGGAAGGAGGGCAAACAACTCCAGGTGTGCTTGACTGTCCCTCAGGTGTTTGGGTTGTTTGCAGAACAGTGAACCCACTGTGACTTACTTCCAGGGTGGATGCTGCATTCTGCACATCCACCCTGTTTTTAAAGACCTGGTTAAGCTAGATTGATTTGTGTTTTCAGAGTCATCCATTCTTAGCATGTAATTCTCTGTTTTGTCACTATTATAAGTGAATGTGCTTGTAAAAAGTACATCTAGTCCAAGAATTAAATGGAATGAAGGAAGTTGGATTCCTTCCTGGTTGGCTGTGTTAGAGTTAGAATGGCTGTATTGACAAAAATATTTCAGGGTTCTGGATGCTGATATATTTTATTTATTTATTAAAACATTTTTATGCCGCCCCATTCGCCGAAGCCTGTACATATATACAGTTTGTGTGTGTGTGTGTGTGTGTACACTGCCTGTATTCGGGCCTGTGTGGATTCTAAAGTTGACATACTCACCGTTCACCCTATTTTAAGGATATAAAGAATAGGATCCCATTGCTCACTGCAGATCAGTAGGTGGTGGCAGCAGGTATTTTGGGAAAATGTTAGGGAAATATGGAGTCAGTGACTTACGGGGCAAGAGCTCTGTAGAGAATCTTTAGATACATCACAATTTGGTGGTAGTAGTAAGATTTGAATTTGTGAGATCAGGATTTGTTTTCATTTTGTTTTAAAAGCAGGATACAAGCCTTGAATTTCTCAATATTTTGGTCAACAGAACTTTTAGGGGAAATGACATAGAGAGCTATCAGAGAAGCAGTTATAAACTATGGTTCTAATACACCACCATCTTGTAACTTGTCTCCCTCTCTTCTACCTTCTCTTTCGGATTTTACTTACTGGCTGAATTTCCCAACTGACTTGAATCCTGCTAAACTAAGAAGAATGGCATGGGATATGAGAAACATAGGCAAACACCATCAAAGATGGTTTATTGAACTGAGCAGAATTAAAAGGATGGATATAATCAGGTAGTGTACCCAGACAGTAATGATGAAATGTGTCTTTTGCTCATTGGAGATCAGTGTGCTTACTGGTTTCTGAAGAAGGAAGCTGATGTGGAGGACAACTGCCTTTAAAAGCAAGCATTTAAATCAGGATGGAGTGAGAGTTTTTTTCTCTTTTTTTGGTGGTGCTGAGCTTATGTCTCTGAACTATTTAACCAGAGAGAAAGCGCAATAATTTATTGCTGAGTGACTCAAGGAATTGTAGTCTATAACCCACCCACCCCCGGCATGAATGAAGAACATTGCACCAGCAGCTGTGAGTTATGGCATTCATTTTTCATTCCAGCCAGGTTAATCTCACTGCAATTATTCAGCATTCTCATTCAAAGCCACTGTGGTACAAAGGTTGAATGAAAGCCAGGGAGAGCTTTGTCCAAATCCTCTCTCAGCCATAAAATGCACTGGGTAGCTTTGGAACTGTCAGTATCTTACAGCCTAAAACCTACCACACCTGGTTGTTTTGGAGATAAAATGGGAGGCAGTACCTTGTCTTCCTGAACCATCTAGAGGAGAAGGAGCAGATTATAAACCAGTGAATGGTACATCCAACTAAAGCCTGTTCTTAAGCCTTAGACCTTTTTGTAAACCAAAGGAGCATCAAATTAAGAGCAATCATATAAAATATTTTCCAAAAGAATCCTCAGCTAACTGGAACTTCAGGTTATTCTTTCTCCTTAAAACCTGAGAAGAAAGAAACAGTTCTAAGACCATTTTGTCTTGGCAGCACTAGAAGCCACTTCTAATGTTTGAGCCACAAATGGCCAAAATTCATCACAGATTCTTCAGTGCTAAGTGATTATATCAAAGTGCTATGCTGTAAAATTATTACGGAAGGAACAGTCACTGAGTCTGTGTGGTTGAATCATTCTGTAATGTTGGTATATCATTCATACCTGCATGTTTCCATAAAGAACAGCCACTGCTTCTTTTGTTATACAGAAGACACCTTTAGTATACAGTTTGCCTTTATGGCACCACTAGTATGCCATTTTGGCTAGAGTTTCAACTCTCAGGGGATTTACCACAAATTGGTAGTACTGCTAACCTGGGATACAAAGGTTAGTGTCTTTCCAACTAGATTACACCATAAGGGCATTCAGACTACATCCAGGATTGGCAACTTTGGAAGCTGTGCAGCTAATTTATGAGCCCCCAGAGCTGACTGAGGGCCACATACACATGTTGCCAAAATGACTGTGACAGCACTAAAAAGAACAAATGTTTACTTTAAAACAAGGTGTGCAGGGAAAGAACAACGTGTTTTAATAAAAGCCTGAATTTGTATTAAAGCAAAATGCAGGTTCCCTTGAAAATTCGACATTTTTGCCATCGCTTCATCTGCAAGTGGTAGCTATGACTTGTGGATGAAATAAAAGTTAGGGAAAACCTGCCTACCCCAGGCTGCATGAAATAGCACAAATTTATAAAACATGCAAAATGGTGTTTTGCTTCCAAAGCAGCAAACACAAGGGTGGGCAACTTGTGGCCGTTCAAATATTCTGGCCTACAGCTATCAACCCTAGCTGGCATAGCAATAGTTCACCTGCATGAGACATTTCAAAGTTAACATTCATCTCATCTTGAGAAAATAATACTTCAGAAAGAGTTGATTTGGTGCAGCGTTGCACCAAAATATAAGGCACTCCAAAGGATTCTTCAGCTTCCTTCTGAAACGGCTAGTGCCCTGTGTCTGCCTCAAAAGATTTGGACCTACAGTAAGTCCCCATTCTTGAGAATACATGGAGAGCCATCCACTCACCTGGTGACTCAGCTTAGATCACCCTTAGTGGTGACTTGGCTTAGAATCTGTTTGTTTCTAGTGGTAATCTATGGTTAAGCATTATGAGAATAACTTTATGCTCATGAGCTTCTCCCTCCTCCACTACAACCACTAGGAAATTGGAACCTTTGCTTATATTTTGACTTAACCACAGTTTATTTTTGCATCTGAACCTGGACAAATTGAAAATGGAAGTCAGAACTTTAAATCCTTTCACAACCCACTAAACAAGAAAAGGCTGCTCATGAGCCCAGTGCTCTTGTATGGAATGCTGGATCATCTTGGATTACTTCAAATGTTTTGAGCTACAACTTCCATCATCCATGACCAATGGCAATGCTGAGGGTGTTGTACTAGAAAACATCTAGTGGAATCCAGGATGAAGAAAGCTACATCAAACCATATTTTAGTGTGTTTGAACTACTCGTATGCCTTAGAAATGAGTGAGGTAAGACAGGACCTCTCAGGCTGTACCTTTCACTTCTTTAAATTATATTTTGTTACATTTGGAGTGGTGCCACAATTGGCATCTGCACTGTTTATTTACCAGTGTCAGGAGTTGAGACGTTTCTACCCTGCCAGGCTGTGTTTGGGAAGGCAAGGAGGTCCCTCTCCTTGATGAAGGAATATTTAATTTTCATTTCAACTAGGTGGTGAAGCTTTCTAGGAGGCAAAGCTTGCTCTTGAGAATAAGAAGATACAGTAGGTTAAAATTTCCCATTATAGACAGTTAGAAACATGAAGTTTGAGTCTTCAAAGCATCTCATTCAATTTGTCGCATTTGGCAGAGCTAGCATCTGATCTGAGCCTGGAAAGTAAATTGCCTCTCACCTCCCATAGAGAATGTCTCTATGGGTCAGGGTTAAATCCTTGGCAAAGTGCGCAAAGGAAGTTTGCATCATAGTTGCCTCCACCACATCTGGGTTTGCGAATAAATAGGACATTTACTTCTCAGCACAGCCAAGAATCTGACATACAGGACTGCAGATATTCACACACCCCACTGCTACCCCCCTGTATCTCAAATATTTTTGAGAGTGCTTTAAACGTCAACAAAGAAGTTACCAGTTTCACTTGGCTCCCGCAACAAATTCAAGAAAAAAATGTCCAAAGAGACTTTTAAAATATTGTAAGATATGTTTTTGTAGTTGATTGGCTGCACAGCCATTCCTTTAAATCCAGCAACATCTGTCCTGTAATTCAAATACCCTGGGAGCATTGTATTCTCAGCATGAGGCACACTTTTTCTCTAAACAAACATTGATTGTTTCCCAAAGCAGCATCCACATGTTGCTCTGACTTTGCCCTCTACTTCAAAGGCAAACGGGTTTCAGAGGATGAGTGAAGGGAACATAAATATATTCAAATAATTTATTGAGACAATTTAGTTATTTAAATTGCATTCATATCTTGTCGTCTTTTCCTTTTGCAAGGAACTTGTGGCTTACATAACCCTACTCCACTCCATTTTATGCTCACAGCAACAACCCTGTGAGGTTTCTGTTTTTACATCATGCTCGTGATGTTTTTATAGAAGTAGCCTTTTCTGTAATTACAGTGAGAGAGACTGTGCTGATGGTATCAATTAATTTCCTCAGGTACAAATGTAAATATAAAACTTGAATATACAGAGAACTTTCACTCTTGGCCTTTCTGTTTCCTTGCATCAATAATGGTACACTGAGGTCTGACCTCTGGCGTGTATACAACAAATCAAAATGAAACGCACCTTAAGGCACATTTTACCAGCCATCCCCCCCCCCCCCCCCCGCCCCTGGTATTATTCTGTACTGATACACTTTTCTGACTGCTATTGTTATGCAGTCCTGAGCAAGTTAGTAAATAAAAAAGAGAATTGGGGGTGGGGTTTTTTTTTGCTTAACTTGGACAGTTTATATCTTTCTGTGAAAGACTTCTGTTAGCCACTGTCAATTCTTTCATTTTAGGTACTAACATTATGTGATGTCCACTACATTCATAATTTCCATAGTAGCTGTTTCTCCCAGGAATAGTATTCTAACTCAAGGGGAAGGCAGGCTGCCACAGATATGAGGCAGCTATTATCAGTTGGTTGTTCGTTTGTTTTATTTATTATATTTATAGTATTATATTTTGATCCTGCTTTTTCCTTTCAAGGAACTCAAGTGGCTCACATAGAGTCATAGAATAGTATAGTCGGAAGGGGTCATGAAGGCCATTGGGTCTAACCCCCCTACTTTTGTAGAACACCATGTTATACCATCCCACTCAGATGGCTGTCCAGTTTCTTTCTGAATGTCTCTAGTGTGGAAGAGTCCACCACCTCTCTAGGCAGCTGGTTCCACTGTTGTATTGTTCTCACAGTGAGGAAGCTTTTCTTGATGTTCAGCCTGAATCTGGGTTGTCACAACTTGAACTGAGTATTCCGTATACACTCTGGCATCAGCAAGAAGAGATCTTGACCTTCCTCTTTGTAACAGCCTTTGAGGTACTTATAGAGGGATATCATGTCCCTCCTCAGTCTTCTCTTCTCAAGGCTAAACATGCCCAGTTCTCTCAGTCTCTTCTCATAGGGCAATGTTTCCAAACCCTGGATCATTTTTGTGGTCCTCCTCTGGACCTTTTCTAATTTTCTTGCATCTTTCTTAAATCTTGCTGTGCAGAACTGAACACAGTATTCCAGATGAGGTCTGACTAGTGATGGGTATAAGAGGAACTACTACTTGTAATTTGGAAGTAATACCAAATGCATCCCAAAATAACATTTGCCCTTTTGGTGGCTGCATTGCATTGTTAACTCATGTTTAGCCTATTGTCCACAATTACTCTGAGATCTTTTTCTGTTTTAGTTCTGTTGAGCCACATATTCCCCTTCTTGCATCATTGCATTTTGTTTCTTTTTCTAGGTGAAGGACTTGGTACTTGTCCTTACTGAATCTCATTATGTTGCTTTTAGCCCAACGTACAAGTTTTATCAAGATTGCGCTGGACTATTCTCCTCCTCCTCTCAGTCTTATCCTCACAGCAAAAACCCTGTGAGGTAGGTTGCACCAAGAGCCTGTGACTGGCCCAAAGTCACTCAGTGAGCTCAATGGCTCCCTAGAACCCAGATTTCCTGAGTCCAAAGCCCACATTCTTAACCACAACTCCACTCTCTATTTTCCCATTTTACAGATGGAAAACACCAGTGAAATAAAATATTCTGAATATTTCTACTTTTTTCAGGAGAGTCATTGAATTGAGTTGGAAGGGGCCAGTCAGGTTATTGGGTCCAGCCCACTGCTTAGTGCAGAACTCCATGTTAAAAAATCCTTGACAGATGGCTGTCCAGCTGCATTTTTGAATGCCTCCCTAAGTAATTGTTGTGTTGCTTGAACTGTCAGGAATTTTCTCCTCCTGTTCAGCTGGAATCTGACTTCCTGTAACTTGAGCCCATTATTCCATGCCTTGCACTCTGGATGCTCAAGAAGAGATCTCAGCCCTTCACTGTGTGACAACCTTTCAAGTACTTGAAGAGTGCTTTTATAGCTCTCTTTGCTTTTCTCTTGTCCCAGCTAACTATGCCCAGTTCTTTCAGTCTCTCATCACAGGGCTTTGTTTATAGTCCCCTGGTCATCCTGAAACTTTACTGTTTTGTCTGCATATCTCTTAAACTGCAGTGCTCAGAACTGTACTCATTACTTCAGATGAGGCCTAAACAAAGCTGAGTAGAAAGGAATGATTTGGGAGTGCTATTGCTATTAATGCATAGCACTTGCTATTTTGAAGCTCCAACATAGTTTATGATCTACAAGAATTCCAGCATCTTCCTTGCTTGTAATATTGAAGAGCCAAGTATCCCCATGCACTTGGTTTCCTTTTCATGGGTACAGAACTTGACATTTATCCCAATTAAATTTTATTCTGTTATTTCCACCCAGCACTCCAACTTATCAAGATTACCTTGATTTTTTTTTCTGCCTTCCAGAAGCTTTCCCACCCATGTTTGTTTCATCTGCAATTTTATCAGCATTCCCTGCACCTTCTCATCCAAATCATTGATAAAAATGTTGAAGAGCCACGGGTCTATTACTGAGCACTGCAGTACCTCACTCATTATCTCTCTCCTGTTTAAGAAGGTGCTATTTATAAGCACTTGTTGTTCCAGTTCTGTAGCCTACTGTGCCATCCAGCCCACTTTTGGGTAGTTTGCTAATCAGGACCTCATGAGGCACTTTGACTAAGGCTTTGCCCACAGTATTCTCAAGGTCTACAAACAAGGTTATCTGTGAGATGAGATCAGATTAGTTTGGCCAGAGTTTGTTCTTGACAAATTTATGCTGGCTTCTAGTAATCACTGCAGTGTTTTCAAGGTGGTTGCAAATTGACTGCTTTATAATCTGTTTTATAATTTTCCCAAGAGTTGATGTCATACTGCTTGGTTTGTAGTTTCCAGGTTCCTTCTTTTCCCTTTTTTGAAGATGGGGTCATGTTCCCTTCTTCAATCATCTGCCACGTCACCCATCCTCCAGAAAAATTGGAATTAGGCCCTGGAAATTTGAACTTATTCAGAGTCCTCATTCATTTGCCTATCAATCTTAAGGGGCAATCCTGCACCTTCTACTTCTGTTCTGCTAGGGAGGTCATAGACCCTTTTTCAGGAAAAGAATGAACTAAAGTGAGAGTTAAGCACTCTTGTCATCCAGTATCATTTTGCCATTATGATTGAGTGGCTGAACCACCATATTTGGCTATATTCAGCTTTTGCAAGAATTCCGGTATGACACGGTCACTTTCCCCCAAGTTCCTATAACTGTCACTTCATTCACTAGGTCATCCTTGTTGGTTGGAATCAAGTCAAGGATAGCCAATCTTTTAGTTTCTTCCTCCAATTTCTGTTGGAGACAGTTATTAGGAACACAAGTCAGGAATTTCTGTTTTGTAGAATTTGTCTCCCAGTACATATTGGGAAAATTGAGGTCCCCTATAACTGTAACATCTTTCCTCCTCGAAACATTAGCAATTGCTTTTCAGAAGTGTCATCCTCATCTTTTCCTTAACTGGGTGGTAGGTAGTAGACTCCAACAACCATGTTCCTTTCCTTTCAACCATGTCCCATTTGTGTTAATCTAGATTCTTTAGATGGTGATACTAAGCTCATCCTTCTGTATTTCTGTGTATAGACATGCATCTTTACCATATAGTGTGACTCTGCCTCCCTTTCTGTTCTTTTTGTTCTTCTCGGATACTATATATTCTTAAGTTGCTGAATTCTAATCATGAGAATCATCCCACCAAGTCCCACCAAGTTACACATATCAAGTCATATTTGCCCTCCTGCACTAAGAATTCAAGTTTTTACTGTTTGTTTCCCATACTCTAGGCATTAGTAAATTGACCTGGAAGATCATGAGCTTTATAGTCTAGCTTTATTCTTTTTTTTTTTTTTTTTTTGGAAGACTATTGTTGGGCACTATTAAAGGTGGTCTCTCCATCTGGAGCATAAGCCTTTGTCCCATTGTTACCCCAAGTTTACTTGGCCATTCCCTGTAGGATTCAGTTAAAAGCTCCCCTGATAATTTTTTTTCCAGCTGTGGCCAAACACATTATTTCCAGTCCTTGTGAGGTACAACCCATCTCTTGCCAGTAGTCCATCTTCCAAGAAATGTAGTCTGTGATCCCAGAATCCAAATATCTTGTGTCAACACTACCTTTGCAGTCAAGCATTCACCAAGAGTATTTTTCTTTCCCTTTCTATTCCATTTCCAAGTACAGGGGGAGGGGGGGAATGAATGAGAGAACTATCTGGCCCTCCAAGTTCTTGAGTTTCCTTCCCAAAGTTTCAGTGTATGACATGATTTCTTCAAAGTAACACTTGGTAATATCACTCAAATACTGGGACCCCAAATTGTTATTAACTAGGTTGGGCCTACTCCTGAAAATTGGAGAGCCAGTGTGGTGTGGTGGTGGCCAGGGTGACTTATTTTATATTGTTATTTCTTGTATTTTAATTTATGTTGTGAGCCGCCCCGAGGCTTCGGCGAATGGGACGGCATAGAAATGTTTTAATAAATAAATAAAATAAATAAGTGTGTGGAACTGGGACTCAGGTGACCTGGGTTCTAGTCACTGCTCAGCCATGGAGCCAACTGGGTGACTTTGGGCCAGTCACAGGCCCTCAACCCAACCTACCTCACAGGGTTGTTATTGTGGGGATAAGATTGAGAACAGCAGTAGGAGGAGGATGTAAGTTGCTTAGCTTTCATAAGAAAAAAGTGGGATATAGATCTAATAAATAAATAAGTAAATAATTAACCTGATCGTCCAGGGCCACCTTGAATCCCATCTCAGCTTTTCCTTCCTTCTGTATTATAAATGTCTACATCTGCTTTTAAAAGGCACAACCCAGGCCACATTAAATGTATATAATTGCAATTTATTTAAATGGTGGTGTAAAGTATATCCTTATTTTTTCTCATTAAAATCAATGAATCTCAGGCTGCAGTGATAAACATACTTATCTGGGAGTGGAAAGTAAGTCCCACTGAATTCAGTGGTTATTATTTCTGTGCAGACATATACAGAATTGCACTGTTCATTTGTCTAACTATGGGAGATCATGGCAACAATGTTCCTGGGTCATCCTTAAATTTAGCTTCTGTTTCTGGAACTGTTCTACTGGAAATTTAGCACCATATAGAATTGACAATCACTCAACCCTAATAGAAAGAAGTCATTTTTATGGGTGTGTTATACTGTTGTAGTAGTTCTTCCATGCTCATCCTTATCCCAGTCCTCATCTTTAATATATATTCCCCCTTTTCCCAGAACACCATTATTTATTTATTTATTTATTTATTTATAAAATTTGTGTGCCATCCAATTACTCACGTATCTGTATGGCTAACAGCATAAATAAATTGACAACCTACTCTGGCTGCAATTAATAAAATACAATAATAAAATCCAATATTAAAACATATTAAAATATTGATTAAATAAAAAGGTCTTAACCTGGCACCAAAAAACATATAATGATGGCGCCAGACGGACATCTCTGGGGAGCGCATTCCATAGATGGGGCGCCACCGCAGAGAAGGTCCTCCTCCGGGTACTCTGTCTCCTAAAATCTTTCACAGAGGGTTCCCGGAGGAGTGCTTCTGTTGCCGATCTTGGGGCGAGAGGGCAAATATGGAAATAGACATTCCTTTAGGTATCCTGGTCCCAAGCTGTTTAGGGCTTTATAGGTAATAACCAGCACCTTGAATTGAGCCCGGACTTCGTTGGGAAGGCAATGGAGATGATAGAGGACTGGGGTTATATGAGAATAACGCCCAGTCCCTGACAGCATCCTGGCAGCTCTATTTTGCACCATCTGAAGTATCCGGACTGTCTTCAAGGGCAGCCCCACATTAAGTGTGTTACAGAAATCCAACCGGGAAGCAACCAATGCATGTGTTACTGTTGCTAGGCAATCTTTCTCCAGGTAGGGACGCAGCTGATGGATTAGCTGAAGCTGATGGAAAGCGCTCCTCACCACCGCTGTCACTTGGGCTTCCAAGGACAGTTCCGGGTCGAGGAGCACTCCCAAGCTGCAGACCCTGTCCTTTAGAGGGAGTGCAACCCCGTCCAGGGCAAGGCCCAAGTCACCTACCCAGGAGTTGGATCATCCATCAACAGAACCTCCGTCTTATCTGGATTGAGCTTCAGTTTATTGGCCCTCATTCAGCCCATTACCTTGGTCAGGCACCGGTTCAGCATAGCCACTGCCTCACTTGGATTGGTTGAAAAAGAGAGGTGGAGCTGGGTATCATCAGCGTACTGATGATTCCACAGCCCACACCTCCTGATGACCTCTCCCAGCGGTTTCATGTAGATATTAAATAGCAGGGGGGACAAAATGGAACCCAGTGGTACTCCATGGCAAAGTTGCCATGGCGCAGAGCCAAAGTCCCCCAGCACCACCTTCTGGAATCGGCCGTCAAGGTAGGAGCGGAACCACTGCCAAGCAGTGCCTCCTACTCCCAATCCCACCAGCCTATCCAGGAGGATACCATGGTCAATGGTATCGAAAGCCGCTGAGAGGTCCAGGAGAACCAACAGGGACACACTCCCCCTGTCTCTCTTCCTGCACAGGTCATCGTACAGGGCCACCAAGGCAGATTCAGTACCATACCCGGGTCTGAAGCCAGACTGAAATGGATTCAGATAATCAGTTTCATCCAAGAGTACCTGAGTTGTCCTGCCACCACCCATTCCAACACCTTGCCCAAAAACGGGATGTTGGCCACCAGTCTATAATTGGTGGCCATCTCTGGATCCAGAGACGCCTTCTTTAGAACAGGCGTGATTACCACCTACTTTGAAGGAGCAGGCACCCAACCGTCCCTCAGAGAGGCGTTAATAACCTCCAGGATCCAGGAACCAATCCCGTGTTTGGCTTTGGTCAGCAGCCACGAAGGGCAAGGGTCAAGTAAGCAGGTGGTAGGACGTACTTGTCCAAGCACCATGTCCACATCATCCGGCCGCCTTAACTGAAATCAGGCCTTTCCTGAGGGAAACAACACCATTTCAAGCCTTTCTTTCAGAAGGGGCTTTGGGAAGAACACAGGGAACTAACTGGGGAGCAAAGGCCAGGAACCCCATTGCACAAGTGCATCTTCTGCTTGTCCTGTGAGTGGTTACTATCCAATGACACTACATCAGCATACACAGAACATTTCAGTGTGTTAATGTCATGTTCATGTTCATGTGCAGCTTGGAAAGCTCAGTTGAAAATTGAAATCTACTTTTCTTAATTTTATATTCCCAATCAAATTACACATCGGAAGTGGGCAGCTTCATTTGGACAGAGGGCTGTCTTGCCTTCTTGGACCAAGTGGGCAGACTGGACCCTGCGCCAAATCCATGTTGCTTGTCCCATAGCCGAAGCTTTTCTGGGCAGTGTACACCTATGCATAAAAACAAAGCAAAAAATGCAAATCTCAAAAAACATTAAAATGAATTTAAAATAGCTATAACATACACTAAAACTAACCTGTAAAGAAAAATAAAATCAACTAAAATGGGTAATCCCCTCAAGTCCCTGAGTAGTTGAGTATGTCCTTAAAATTTTCCGTGTAAAATGACTGTCTTAACCAGGTATGAAAAAGATGGCAAGTTTTGAGCCAACTGGGCCTCGGTAGGGAGGCTGTTCTATAAATGGGAGGCCACCATAGAAAACTCTGTGCCCCTTGTTGCTACCCTCCAAGCCTTTCTCAGAGTTGACATTCAGAGGAAGGCCCCAGAAGTTGAGCATAGTGTCCTAGTAGATTGCAACTGGGAGAGACACTCCAACAAGTGTTGAGGTTCTAAGCCATGCAGTGAATTATAGGCTGAAACTGGCATCTTGAATTGGACTTAGAATTGTACAGGTAGCCAGTGCAAGTGAACCACAACTGGTCTTATATGTTTGAACCTGTAGATCCCAGGTATTAATCTGGCTGCTCCATTCTGCACAAACTGCAGCCTCCAAACCATCTTCAGGACCATGTAAACTGCATTGCAGTAACCTAATTTAGAGATTACCAAAATTACTGAAAGCAGGTTATCCCTATCCTGATAGGCGCATAGCTGGGCCAACAGCCAAAGGTAGTAGAATGCGCTCCAAGCCACTGAGGCCACCTGAGTCTTGAGTGACAATGATGGATCAAAGAGACCCCAAATCTATGAGCCTGCTCATTCAGGGAGAGTGCAACCCCATCTAGAACAGGATCAGTGCCCTCCATCTGGTCAAAGGAACCACCGACCAACTCAGTCTTGCCTAAACTGAGCTTCAGTTTGTTGGCTGTCATCCAGTCCAGCCTGGTGTCAGTTTAGCATATAGCTTTACCCTGCACTTTTCTTCCTTTGTGCAGAGAAACCCACAAAACTCTGTGCCACTCTCGGTATCAAGAAAGGGTCTCATCTGGCACCTCCTTCCTGCTTTGCTGCTCAGCTCACATCTCAGCTGGGGAGTGAGTGGGGCAGGAAGGAATTCAGGTGCCAGTTGCAGGAATCAAGTCTGGCATAGCACCTCCTCTGGGGAACTCCCTTAGTGAGAACGCAAGATTGGAGGCATCATGCAGATTCTTCTTTTGAATCACCTCTCTCATCCCTGGGGGCCTACAGGGTGGGGCTTGAGGAAGGTAAAAAGCCTGCAGAAGTTACCTGACCCTCTATAGGTCATTTAGGAAATCTCTGTGGGTAGAATTAAGCCTCTGAGGTTGCCCTCCCTTACTCTATATAATAGGATTTTTAAAGGACTGAATCTGAATGTTATACAGGATAGGGATTTTGGAGGCTTAGCTAAATAGGAATTTATCTGTTTAGTTCCAAAACAATTTCTTTCCATCTGTATATAAGGTACTAAATCAACAGCAGTTTTGCCATATATTTTCCTATCTGGTGTTCTCTCTTTCTCTCTCTCTTATTTTGCCATTGTTTCCTCTGACTTCTTCTCTCTTTTTCTGTGTTATCATTTTGCCTGTGGCAAAAGACAATAAAGTAGAATAAGAAAAAAATTGCATTTCCCAGAGAAATTGGGATTCCAGCTAACATTGTTGATGTTATGTTAGAGTGGTTTAGCTGAAGCAATGTCGTTTACATTAAGAGTTTTCCCACCTTGGATACTGCCTCCCCCTTAGAAATAGCTTGTTCAAAACGTAAATCACTATGTAAAATGGTATTATGCACAGATAGACATGGCTGATGATTTCCCAGAAGAAGGACCACTGCTAATATTATTGTTGGGTGCAGAGTAATGGGGGCTAAAGGTTTTTATGACATGATGCTTGTTTGGAAGTGACAAGAGTACTCATGTGCAGATAGATGTTACGAGAGATCAGTTAACAGTTTTATAGATCACATTTTAAAACTCCCATTGTTCTTACAGCAGCTTAACATCACATTAGACAACAGATGTGGTATATGGAATGTGTGGGAATATACTTTGGGGGCCACCTGTCTTGAAATGTGAAAGACAGACCCAGTTTGCGAGTGTGCTTCTTGTATTAGTATTAATGCAATTGTTCTCTTGCTCTGTAGAAGTAAGGCCAATAATATAACATCAAGCTATTTGCGTTCCAAGGACACTTGTAATTCCTTATAAAATGTAATTTTATTTTACTATTTAATTCTTCCAGTCAGTTCTTCCATTCCTGCTGCAGTTAATGTAATAGTTAATAACAAGACCAGTTTTAACATTTAGGCATGTTGTAGTGTACTATATTATTATTATTGCATTGCATTAGTACCCTGCCATTCTTTCTCTTGTAAGGCAGCATACAAAGTTCTCCTCTCCATTTTATCCTTAGAACAACGACCCCATTAGGTGAGTTAGGTTGAGGGTGTGTGACTGGCTCAGAGTCACCTAGTGAGCCTCATGGCTGAGTGGGGACTAGAACACAGATCTACAAGTTCCAGTACAACACTCTTACCACTATTCCACATATGTATGTCTTCATATCTAAGGGCCAGTGGTAGTTGGTACCTATTGGAATGGGAAGGCAAAGCCTGTGATAGGTAGAGCCAAACCAATGATAGGCAGATCCAACTAATTCTTGTTTTGTCCCCTTCTTCTCTTGCAAAACCAATTAGAATGCAGTCCTACGATAATGTGCTTGATCTTGGAGCCCCCTGTCTATCCTATGCAGAGTGACAGGAGTGACTGGGATCTTTTTTAACTTTTCTTTTTTCCTTTCCTTCAGTTTCTGTTGGTTGGGCCTTTGAGCCTGTCTAGTTCACATATGTAGGCAGGGCTGGGGATAGCAGCTGAGAGATTTGTAAAGCTGCTAGATCTATTTCTTCCTCCTACCCCCAGTCCTGTCTTCATAACCCCCATTTCCTCCCTTTTTGAAGTCATATTTCTGACGTTGAGAGACAGAGCCAACACAGTTTTCTGCAGTGACTGGGAGAGATAGCTAGTAGGAAATCAAGTATGGATTTCACCCTGCTGCAAGACTGAAAGACTTACTAAGAGGAAGCAAACAGCCAGTGCTCCTCCTAGACTGGTTATGAAAAAAACATGCAGGAGGAAAGGAAGTACAACCTGCAGCCTGAACCCAGTAGAACAATGCTCCTAATGGGTCTAAGTAGTACATTCTACACACAAAAGGATAGAGCAGAAGCAGGCTTGAGAATACATGATCTTTTAAAACGGTGGGAGGCTTAAATCTTCCCCACCTGCTCCTCTTCTATGACAAGGCTTCCTTCTTCGTCGTGGTCTCTGTGTATCACACATATGGGTGCTGCGCCTGTGCAGTGCCTATTTTCGGGAAGATTCTCTCAGCTGTAACGTTCTTTGGGGGAACTCTGCTCCCCATCGTATAAATGGGCAGAGTCCCAGCCCTCTTGCCATCTGCTTTCGACTGCCATTCGCTGTGCCTTCAGTTCATAATGGAAATTGTAAGATGGGAAAAGTTGAGTTGTGGGGTAACTGCTATTAGCTGGAGTAAGAAAATTGTGACCCATTGTACAAGGACCTGGAACGCTTTTGTGCTGCCTTTGGATTTCTAATGTATGTGTAATTTGTATTCTAGCTCTCATGATTCCAAAATTTTATTTGAATATATGTAATGGCAAACATTAAAAGTTTTCTTCACTGTTGAGTAGGTTAGGCACTCCCTAATTAGAATACAGTGAAAAAGGAGAGTCTTAATAAAGTGGCAGAGGCAAAAAAATTAGGCCATTCTCCTATAGGTACTTCCTGTGCTTTCAAAAGTAAATATGATAGGGGAAGGCATAAATGCAAGCACTTAAGAATAAAACACTAGTGCATTGCGGACAATGCTCAAATTACCCACAATACCCTAAGGGTTTTAGGTCTGATGTGAGTGTATGTGTGTGCATGCACATGCATGCTTTTTTTTTTTTTTCTTTTGCACTATAACGTGCATTTTGGATGTGTACTTTAAATGTATTCAGCTTCAACCCTGGAAATACAACAGAGATTATAATATCATGGTAGAGCAACACACACACATATCTACAGGACATTTGTTAGAATATGATTCTCAGTATAATTAATTGTCCCATCCCTATGCTTGAGGGAAGGGGGGGTCTCTTCACTGTTCGCACAACAGAATGGGTTCAGTAAAACCTGAGTGTGGGAACTGCAGCTTTAAATTCTTTAAATGTAAATCCCCCAGGCTTGTTACACACAAAACCTAAAGCATTATCATTAGGGGGTTATGTCTGAAATATTTTGGTATGCTGGAGGGAGTTCTGATGATTAAAGGGAGCAGTTTTCAATGAGCAAGACAAGTTCTGATCTGTCCTTTTTTTCACCTCCGCTCAGGGCAAAGACCAGCAGCTTGAGGTTGACCTCTCGAAGGAGCTTGCTCTGAAAAGGAAGATGTGAAAGACTGGAAATACTCTTTCTAATGCTCGGCTCTGGAGCCAGGAAAAGGCAGCTGTTTCTGGCCTTTCTGTTTTTTTTCCTGCTAGCTAAGAGCTGGGCTTGTTGCCATATCTGTTTGTCTGTCTGTGTCTCCTTGTTTTTCTCAGAAAGCTTCAGAGGCCAGTTGCCCGTAGCGGGTTGCTGAGAACAGAGGTCGCTCCTTGTATCGTCTTAACTCTCCATGCCAGAGCGTTCATGCTTGAATAGGAAACAGCAAGATCTGTCAATATAGGCCTTTTCTTCAGAGCTTTGAGTCTGCATTCTCCACGGCCATCTGTTCCCTTTCACCCTTTTGGACAATGTTGCTATTTGAAACTTCTCTTCCTCCCTCCTCCTGCCCCCATCTCTATTGCAAAAACAACAAAAAAGTTTCTGTGAAATAGTTTGGCCTCTAACATCTTTAACTATCTTCTTTTTCAAATTTTAAAAATGACATTTTCTATTGTTTTTATTTCAAAGACTGGGGATGGGGTAGGGAGGGGGAATGAATATTTCATGGAAGAAACAAGATCAGTGCAGCCCAAACTTCCAGGGTTTTTTTTATTTTTCATGTGGCTGTGTGGTAATCGCTTTATTTAAAGCAATGATGGTTCTTATTATCCTACAGATGTGAAGTTTGTTTCTTGTTTTTACAGGAGGTATGGCACCAACCACTATAGATTATCATATATCCCTGCACTATAGCCATGTTTACTTCTTAACTTCTTGTTTTCAAGCTGCAAAATACTGAGCATTTTTGGAGACCTCTTAAGAGTTTGCTATCTAGAATGTTCAATGTGCACTGCAGCTAAAGTGCATATCTGATTGCCCAGTCACATGGCCAGGAATGTTTTTCAGCTTGCAGTAAGTAACTTTATCCATATGCTTCATTGCGGGGTGTCCATGCTACAAAGTAGGAATGGATGAATATGTCTAGTTCAATTCCATTCTCATTTTTCTAACAATATGTTCATTCCCTCCCATGAGTGCATTAGTTTTTTATTAAATAATTTACATGACAATTTGTATTTTCATTAATATTTCCTTCATGTAATATTCCCCCCCAATATACACAATTTGTGTGGTTTTCTTCTATTATATGCAACTTTGTGCTTATTTTTTTAGTGTAAATTGCAACCCCAAATTTGGAAAAGTCTGATTATCACGGTATAACTGTTCCAGTGGGTATATTCAAGAAATAAGAGTTGGTAAATTCATATTAAATTGGAACACACCTTACCCAATTTTTACCTATTCATTCTCCCAAACTGCTCTTACCTTATGACCAGTTGCAGTGAACTTGCCAAATGTCTGATTTTTAGTTATGGGACTTACCCTACTATACAGACATAAGTTGTTAACTTTCAAAATGAAGAACAAGTCCCAAAATACTTGGTAATGTGACTAGGTTTTATAAGGAAAAGCAAGATCTTTTTTAAAAACTATTCCAGCTACAATTTTTTCCTTTCAGGAACGAACGTTCAGGAAATATGGCACAACTTTTTTTCATGTGTGCTTATCTATGATGAATTATACAAATCAAAGTGAATTCTTTGTCCATATTTCACCAGAAAAAGTATTTTCTATCTTGAAGAATCCAAACTTTATATTCTAGTTTAGAGTTAAGAATTGGAGACTTGGGTGCAATGCAGACAAATATAGATTCTGTATAAATTTGATATTCATGTATCATTCCTATGTGTTCTGGAGAAATGATGTTCAAACTGTTCTGGAAAGGGTTTTATTCCATTTTAAAGCAGAGGTTTGCAGCCTGGATATATTTTTATATATTATTATGTTACTAGAAATCCAGGTAGGTTCAATGGCATAAAAATACCTTTTACCTTCTATTCTCTCTGGTTGGAGTAGTCTGGCCACAGTGCCTATTTGTTAGTGTGCTAAATGGGATCAGGCGTATGAAGAAGTGCTCTTCCCACATCATTTGTGTCTTATTCTTCTGCTCAGCCTCTTCTCCAAGTTCCTTCCCTAGTAGCACCTCCTTACATAAAGCCCCATGCACACTCACAAAAGAAAAGTGTGTTTTTGGTGCTGGTGGCTTTGGAATGACTTGGGTCCTACCCTGCAATCCTTTGGGCACAAGATTAAAATATTTTTGTGTGTGCAATATATTAATCTGAATAGTTGTTCAGCCTGCCTCAACAGTCATATTTTAGTGGATTTTTAAGTTAGTTGTTTATCTTATTAGTTATAGGGATTGGTTCCGTTCCTTCTACAATACAGCCTATATGGACCGTGGAAACAGATTCTGCGTCAAACAAGGAGAACTTAGAGTCCACAGCTAAAATGCCAAGGCCAGTGGATCTAGAGATAAGCCAGGTGGTTACTGAGATCTGTTTGTTTCAAATACTGTGGGAAAGTTTAGTGAGCATGCTAATATTTCAGCATATAACAGTAGGTTAAGAGGGGTGAACAACTGAGAAATGTTAGATGCTCCAAGTAATTGCCCCTTAAGTTGGAAGATTCCCCTTAGAAGAGTGATATTTAGTTTGAAATCAACTTAGCATTAACCCACTTTTCCCAAATAGCCAGTATTTCTTTTTATTAATGACTGTTGCAGTAGTCTTTCTTTCTGCTTTAAACCCAGCTTTGCTAGTCAGCTTTAATATAATAAAGTCCTTTAGTTAGAAAGCTTTACCTTGGTCTGCTTAGAAAGAAAGGGAGAGGAAGGGTCTCTGATTTGAACTCTGATTTGATGGAGGGTAGTATAGAAGGTTTTAAATAATAAATTATAGTTTTAGATCTTCTCATTGCTGATTCATATTATTGTGAGCATACAGCCAAATGTTATTTGGTGGGATCATTTTTAATGTGACTGTGTGCCAAACTGATAACTCTTATCTGATCATAGTGTTTTGTTCCTTCTTTTTTTCTCATGAAGACAGCATGTTCTTTTTTTTTTTTTTTAAGGAAAGACTGTTTCTATTCTTTATTCATATTACAATGAACTGGACCAAAGAACCTGTATCAGTGTTATAAGAGCAACACAGTTCTTGTTCCTTCTCTGCTGTTTCCCCTGTAATGTTTGAGCCCTCTTTGCCCTCTGTTACTGGCATAGTTCTTTCCATGTGGTTCCACCCATCAGTCACAGATGAACAGCCACCAAGCATGGTGTTCCTATTACATAAGAATCAACCCTGAATCTGATCCAAGTTCCAGATGTCTTCATTCATTTATCTCCCCAGGATTTGGTAGTATCACCAATACAGTAGCATTCTTTTGAGACTGTGGTTACCATTTATTGAATATACTAACATAATCAAATATGGGAGGATAGTACCAGCAAGTTATAAATCATTCAGGTTGTTTTAGCAGGTTCTGTATAACCAACATGCATCCTGAAGGACTGTAGACTTTATTTTATGTGACTCGATCAGGGGGGGGGGAGAAATATAGATAATAAATGCCTCTTTTCAAATGTTTGTTTTTGTTTCTTTAATTTTCAATAAGGGAAACATTAAAAAACAAACATCAAATAGGACCATTGGAAGTAAGTCTGTCTGCCTGCCAAGTGAACTATTACATAGACTGAAAAATGTCAACCTGCTCTAAACTCAATTTGTCCATCATCATCGTATTATCCAGGATACAAACTTGCCTTAACAAACCCTACATAAAGTTTTCTAATAATTGAACTGATGGGCCAATAACTTGCTGGATTTATTCTACACCTCACCCCCCTCCCCTTTAAAGAGAGGGACTATAAGTTGCTTTGTCCAGAAGCCAGGGATATTTCCTGTCCACAATTTTACTGGAGTATACAGGTTGGCACAGTGGGGTGTTAAAAGAGGGCTGATAATCCTGCAAGGAGAATTCCTCTGGATCATGAAAAACATAAGAGAAATAATTTTCCCAAGCATGCAAAAGGATACAGCAAGCAGGGGGTTCCTAATGAACTCTAAAGGCTCTAGTCATTATTCAACAAACTGATTTAGTATAGCATGGGTACATAAATTTTATTTCTCTCTCTCTTTCAGTATCTTTTTTCTTTTGGCAGATGACTGCTTTGTATTACTTTTGAAATCAGAAAAGAGCAAGATGGTTACTGACTTAAGAAATAGTCAGTATTTTCCATGTTGTGGGAACATTTTACACACTCCATTTGGGGACATTATGGCTGTGTATTCTTTATTGTGGCAGAGCTCTGGTCTGGGCAGGATAGGGACAGTGCCTGCTTCTGTGTGTGAGAAGATAGAGATAGTGTATGGCATCTGGTTATTCGAATCCAACAATGACTTACTATTCTTTTCATTCTGTTTTACCAATGCCTGTTGAGATGGAAATTCAAGCCAGATTGACTCGTTCTTGCTTCGGTCCCTGTCCCAGTGGTTCCTTGTTCCCATCTGTCCTGCATCAGTCTGAACTTCTTTTCTGGAACTGACTCCTTATTACGATATCATCTAACTCTTCAGTGAGATTCTTTGGCCTGACTAACTCACTCAAAAGGTTCAGACTTGACAGGACCTGACTGCCTGGAGTCATGGAATCTTCAGAGCATTCTGCTACCTAATGATATTTCATGGGCCTCTGTGAAATGAGCTAGAGTACTGGTGGGCCATACGAAAATCATGGCCTACCCTGCTGGTACTTCATGGGCATATCTCAGCCAAGGGAATTGTCAAAGTTTAATTCCGCTTATGATACAGTTCAAGATTTCCCCTAAGAATAAATCTAGAAATCTTTTTTTCTACATAGAGAATTTTTATTTGCTTACTGTAAGTTGGAATCCATGTAGAAATGACTTGACTCATTTTGGTCTGCAAAGAAAATACAGGTACTACCTTTCTAGTAGCTTGATTCAGCAAGCATCAGTCTATGAATTCATTGCCTACAAAGAAAGGAAGTTAGTCCCTATAAATGTCAGTGTAGTACCTTATTTGACACACACAACACATGCAGAGAGTTAATTTTCCTACATTATGACTTCACATATGTTGAGTATGGCTTAGCTTAGGCATTTTCTAAGCAACATATTGGATCAATAAGCTGAGGGAAGGGCTGTAAAATAATTTTAAATCATATTTAAAAATGTAAAATATTTTTAGCTTTCACCTCTCTGAAGGTACTGCTTTTATTCTTAACTTTCTAGATTTTATCTTGTGGAATTTCGAAACATGGTAAATCCAGATGATGAGTGAACAGAAGCAAAGAATAATATAAATAAATAAATAACAGCTGAAAGATAGTGGTGTGGGAAAATAAAGTGCTTTACCCTGAGGTTTTCAGTATAGTGTACAGAGTACTTTGGATTGGACCTATCAGCTTCAAATCTCTCTTACTCAAGCCTTAAGGGAACCAATTCAACCATTTCACCCCTCCACTCTTCCACAATATGTGGATTGCCATTTTATTATCTTTTAAGAGGCAAATGTTATGTAATCCAGTAGTAGCTCATACTAATACTGCCATATAAAGTAACAGTGAACATAGTCTCTCAAGTATGGCTGCTTGTCAAACTAGTGGTCAAACTATCACCATTCATACACAAGAGAGAGGCATCACCTGGCTTGGGGGAACCCAAAGATTTAGACAGCCCCACTCCCTGGAAACAGATGACTGGGACTGAGCTTGTTCAATGGGTGCAGAATGGTGACTGGCTATTGGTGATGGTGGTGGGGTTGAGAAATAGTGGGGAGGGAGATAGAATGGATTATCCAGAATATGATATCTCTGGTTAGGATTTTGAACAGAAACACGCCATATTGCACCATTTTGTTCTGGGTCCCAGTTGTTTTTATCTAGGAATACTATTAGGGCAAGTACTATAGTTCCAACTCCAGCTGGTTGTGGGAGAGACAAGTCAGAATGTTGGGTTTCAACTTCATGATAAATAACCCTGGGATGAAACATCCTTGAACATTTTAGGTGCTTGTGCTAGTAGGAGAAGCTAAATAAAAGAACTTGAACTGCAGAAACTATTACGCTTGCTTGTTCAAAATAACCCCAAGTTTGTCGCATGTGAACTGGGTCATTGTTTGCTAGTCTACAAAAAGCATTTTTTTCTTTAAAGACAGGTATGTAAATAAGATTTTGCTCTGGAAACTGTTTTGTAATACAAGAACTAATGATGTAGAAAGGGAATACAATCAGATAATGAGTGTGGTATCGTAGTAAAGGAAGAATGAAACAACAGTAAATAAATTGGAAACTTTATAGAGATGATTTTGCAATTTTAGGGTTAGAATTTTTCAACATATCTAATAGGGAAGCTAAGAAAAATACTGAATTTGATTGGTAGTGGCCCAAGTTCTTGACAAGAGGGTTATCTCTCTCTTCTTGCACTGCTCTATCACTCCTACATAAACCGTACTACAGAGTATGACCATTTCCAGAAAGGGAAGTCCACTGGAATATTGAAAGCTGGAATATTTGTTATTGCCAGACCAGAGAAGCTTTTTTTTAAAGGAAGGAGATAATATCATCTATTCCTTATGCTTGTGGTTTTCTTAACCGCCTGTCTCTTTTTCTGTAGAACTACCAGCTGCCTTCCCACCTCCACAAAGTCTATGAAATCTGATCATTTTATTTAAGGTTGGTG